GGGGTGAATGGGGGTGAATGTTGTTTATACTTTGTACCCTGACCCTGTTCAATCCTCGTGCGGTGAGTTTTTGTATCAGTCCGGTTTGTACCTGTTTGTGTACGTGTGCAAAAGGTGTTTGAGAACGTGTATGATCGCCTCGGCCCAGTTCTTCTACCAGGTAAGTGCATGTTAGTTTTGTGTACTTTTACATAGCCACTCTATCGTAGTTTTGTGTACTAGTTTGTGTTAGTATTAAGAATAGCCTGTATTTTTGTAGATAGTGTTGAAAGTACTGAAACTTTTTTGTGAGTTAATTAGCCTTTGTTTTAATCAGTCTCGTGTTTGTAACCAATTTGTGGTTGCTAGTCATATGTTGCGCGATTCTATGGATTCACAACAACCCCCCCCCCCTCGTCACCGTGAAATCAACCGTCCGTGACGACAGTTTACAGATGACAATGAAAAGATCAAACAGAACAACTAACCCCCCCCCCCCTTAGTTTCAAATCGTCTAAAAGCTAAATTATCTGTCCCTAATAACCGTCAGTAGTTTTCTCTCTTTTTTTTTAAAGTTTAGACTAGATTAGGGATTAACCAGTCTGGGTCAAGCCAGATTTGAGCATACACCCCTAAATTTAAATATACCCTAGGGTTTAGATCAGGTATGTTAGGTACCCACTTGTTTACTTGATTACGGGGAATAGCTAAAGTGGTTACATTAAATGACTTACGTTAAATTTGGATTTTAAGTTTAAAAATTAAATATTTGTTGCAAAATAAGACAACAGCTGTAAAATATTGACTATTTTGAAAAAAAATGGACTTATATTAGACAGCTGAAATGTTTTTTATGTTATTATGAATGTTTCCCCCCCCCCCCCGCGATGTTAGCATAAATCCTTAGGCTAATCTTCAGCATGGGGAGTCGATTGTAAAAAAATCTTAACCAAATCGACTACTGTGCACAAACTGTCAAAGTTCATCAGTATAATCTTTTACAAATCTCTTCATTTGTCTCTCGGGACACACACACACACACACGAACGAACACACACACGCGAACGAACACACACACCTGCTAACACACACACACAAACAGACCCAGACTCGACTACGGATACACTCACACACACCTACAGCATCTCGCTTTGTCTCTCTCTCTCTCTCACACAAACACCCATCCACGCACCCTACACAATACCCCCCTCCCCCACACACACCTTTGTACATTACAAAGTGTGTAATGTTTAGTACGACGTAACCTGCGACCTATATATCAGCGTCACGGATGGATGATCCTACATCTATGTGGTAAATATCTTGCTATGTGATTTACCTATGCTCTCCGTCATTCCCATCTCACACAATTCTCTCCCCCCCCCACGTCTCCCCCTTTGTTACAACGAAACGATAGCCCACCCTTTTTTGAATTTCAATGCCATGCCATAGTTATTGGATGGTAGAGCTCACATCTGCGAACCCAAAAGTTCTCGGGTCTAACAGAGTTCGAGTCTGTAGGACGTCACTATACAAAAACTTTTACAAAACAAAAAGAATGTTGCTATAACAAGGATAGTAGGATAATGTATAACGGAAACTGCTTAGTCGACATGTTTCAGGATAGATGTTAGTATCCAAGTTGGAATAGGATAATTTATTTCGAAACTGCTTAGCCGACATGTTTTAGGATATATGTTAGTATCTAAGGTTGGGATTAAATAGTGGGGTTTTAGAGTTTTGTGCTCATTATCCTTATGAAAATTTTCAACATAATTTTAATTAAACAAAAAAATATATTACAACACTTACTTTTTAACTCGAAGTTATATCCAAATGAAATTTTTTTGAAATAAAAGTACAACCATAATGAAAAATATATACCAATTAACAGTTAAAAAAATACAACTATAAAGAGTAATACATAAAATACATGAAATAAAACTTTAGTAATTTCAACGGTTAAATAAATGTATGCCACGCACAAAATATATATATATATTAGTGCGAAAACAACTTATACAAACAACATGTAGATAAAAATAACTACACACGTGGACTATTAGTATTCAGGTGTTTATTTTTACTTGGGAAAAAACAGATTTGTTTTGTTTTGTGTTGTTGGTGTGATAAAGTTCATCACACCTTCGTAGTGTTATTTAGTTTTTAAAATATCTTTGTTATTGTCTTTGTTCTGTCTCTTGTTCAGTAGCCATCGGCGTACCATAAGCCGTAATGTCTCGCGATAGTTTTTCGTTTTGAAAAAAAGTATGAAAACACCAAGTCATCATATTTGACGAAAAAAAAATATTTCCCCAAGATTTTTTTTGTGGACTGTCTTGCAGCTGTTGTATATTGTTCAAACATAATATGTAAATATGTCATGTTGATAATCTATCACCGTGTAATTAGTTTTTAATTACTAATGAATTTTGCTTTGTACCGTTCGCGCCGTTGTAAACACTACCACTCAGATCATTTGCGCTCCTCATCTCCCAGTCGAGTCGCGCGTCCGGTGTTGGGCAAGTGTCGTACCCGCAACACACCTGTGACTGTAGTAGTTGGCTTCCAGAACCTGGCAGACATATGGGATACGCACGATAGTATAGAGTTATAGAGAGATAGAGTCGTAGAGAGTAGTGAGTGAGAGAGTGTTGAGTGAGATGAGTAAATCCTGAGTCTATAGTATATATAGTATACCACCGACCATCTACCGAACACCTAACCAGCAACCGACCTACCAGCACCTACCATCAGCCTACCATCACCTCCCCTCCTACCTACTCACCGTACACACCACCGACCATCCAACCACCTACCACACCACCTACCTACCATGCACCTACCATTACCTCACCACCTACCACCACCTACGCACACTCACCCAGCCAGTACCTACCACCACCTACCACCATCTCCACCACCGTACCACACCACCTTCCACACCACCGACCATCACCTACCGATCACCTCACCACCTCCACCTCCTACCACAGCCACCTACCATCCACCACCTACCACACCACCTACCTACCAGCACCTACCAGTACCTCACCACCTACCACCACCTACCACACCACCCACCAGCACCTACCACCACCGACCACCATCGACCACCACCTAACCACACCACCTTCCACACCACCTACCAGTCACCGACCAGCACCGCACCACCTACCACACCACCTACCACCCACCACCTACCATGCAGCTACCACACCTACACCACCTACCACACCACCCACCATCACCGACCACCACCTACCACCACCTACCACACCACCGACCATCCCCTACCATCACCTACTACCCATCCCCTACCATCACATACCATCACCTCACCACCTACCACCACCTACCACACCACCTACCATCACCTACTTTCAACTCACCACCTACCATCACCTGCCACACCACCTACCATTACCTACCACACCACTTACCATCACCTACCATTACCTCACCACCTACCACCACCTACCACACCACCTACCATCACCTACCATTACCTCACCACCTACCACCACCTACCACCACCTACCACACCACCTACCATCACCTACCATTACCTCACCACCTACCACACCACCTACCATCACCTACCACCACCTACCACACCACACACCATCACCTACCACCACCTACCACCATCTACCACCACCTCACCACCTACCACCACCTACCACACCACCTACCATCCACCACCTAACATCACCTACCACCACCTACCATCCCCTACCATCACCTACTACCCATCCCCTACCATCACCTCACCACCTACCACTGCCTACCACACCACCTACCATCACCTACTTTCACCTCACCACCTACCATCACCTACCACACCACCAACCATTACCTACCACACCACCTACCATCACCTACCATTACCTCACCACCTACCACCACCTACCACACCACCCACCATCACCTACCACCATCTACCACCACCTACCACACTACCTACCATCACCTACCATCACCTACCATCACCTCACCACCTACCACCACCTACCACACCACCTACCATCCACCACCTACCATCACCTACCACCACCTACCACCACCTACCATATCCTACCAACACCTACCACCCATCACCTACCATCCACCACCTACCATCATCTACCACCCATCACCTACCATCACACATTTAGTCAGATCCACCAGCCGACGACGCCGACGCCGACGCCCCCGACGACGAGCTCAAGCCGTACGACAAGCCGGACGAGGCGGTCATGAAGGATGACTGATCAGACAAGTGTTGCGTGTTGAGGATGTTGGACATGTTGTACCGGATCTTCATCTGCGTCATGATGGTCCGAGTCATTTCAATCAGGTAGTCGAGTGGTTTTGCTGGCCTGTGCTGTATCACGTTGAACAACATAAACTGGGGAGTAATAAATAAAAAGTTAAATACCTACCATCACCTACCATCACCTACCATCGCTTATCATCACATACCCTCACCTACCATCACCTTCCATCGCTTACCATCACCTACCATCACCTTCCATCGTTTACCATCACCTACTAACACCTACCATCGCTTACCATCACCTACCATTGCTTACCATCACCTTCCATCACCCACCATCGCTTACCATCACCTACCATCACCTTCCATCGCTTACCATCACCTACCATCACCTATCATCGCTTACCATCACCTACCATCACCTACCATCGCTTACCATCACCTTCCATCACCCACCATCGCTTACCATCACCTACCATCACCTACCATCGCTTACCATCACCTACCTTCACCTACCATCACCTACCATCGCCTACTGTTACGGGTCATTTGAGGTCAGGTTAGAATAGGGTAGAATAGTCTCGAACTTAGGGGAGCAGAGTTTCTTCCAGGCATCTCTTCGGGGGGGGGGGGGGCAAAGCCTCCCCGAAAAACATTTACCGCCCCCCGAACGAAATGAAATTTATATAATTTATATAGAAAATATATACTTTTAACAGTGTCTGCCCCCCCCCCCCCTCGAAGAAAGTCTATCGCCTCCCCGAAAATTGCAAGTGCCCCCCCCCCTCCTTAGAAAGAAGTCTGGAAGAAACACTGTAGAGGAGAGTGCGTGTGTGAGTTGAGTTCCCCCTACTGTGTAGTAACCCCCGTGTGTTATGTCTTGTAATCCCAAGGTCGAATGCGGGTATAAAAAAAGGGGAGTGAATGAGGGTCGGGGGTTAGTTGGTAGCGGTTAGGACGAGGGCTACTCGGTTATGTGTTAAGAATTGAGACCGAATAAAAGTATTGAAGTAAACACGAATCGTCTCTTGAGTTGAAACCAGCCCGAACGTAACACCTACCATCACCTACCATCACCTACCATCACCTACCATCACCTACCATCACCTACCATCACCTACCACCACCTAAACACAAAGTTAAATTCATCTGCAAGAGACTAGCTCTGTATATGTATTAAGTCAAAACTTATATATTTTCGATTTCTCTGCATTTGGAACTTTGGGAGCATTGGACATAAACCCCCTGGGCATAAACCCCCCGAACATACCCCCCCCCCCCAACATAAACCACCCGAACATAAACCCACTGGACACAAACCCCCTGGACATAAACCCCCTGAACATAAACCCCCGGGACATAAACCACCTGGTTGTCATGGTTTTGGGGGTTATGTCGGGGGGGGGGGGGGGTTTATGTCCAGGGTGGCTATTGACCTGAAGCAATTTCTTTGATAGTAAATATCACAATGAGGTGTCACCTCTAAATATGGTTAACAATTCGGACATCACCACCCCTCATCCTTCCACTCCTTGATAGACTTCTGTATCCCTGTCAACAAAAATGATCGTTGACGAGGGGGGGGGGGGGGGGTTCTCATTCAACTCGGCATTTAACCAACTCACCTCGAATAGATCGACCAAGCCAAATCTCGATGCATAGTTCTCCCCTTCTATTCGGGGGTGTTGAATGGCGCACTGGGGCCGTAACTTGATCTGGCTGGCCACCTCCGTCGTTCTCTTGAACTTGGCAGCCTGCAGAACACATGCAGGCTTATTCAGAGGCGTAGCGATGGGGAGGGGCAGAGGGCGCCAAAAATGGGTAGGAAAAAGTAATGTAAAGTTTGAGGGGGGGGGGTGTGCAAATCGAATGTTTGAGGGGAGGGTGCAAATCAAAAGTTTGAGGGGGGGGGGTGCAAATCGAAAGTTTGTCCCCGGGCGCCGGGAAGGGTCGCTACGCCTCTGGGCTTATTAGTGCTTCGGACGGAGTAGTTTAGCGGTAGAGAGCTGGACTGCAAACCCGTAAGTCTCGAGTTCGAATCCGGGTTCAAGTTCGTAGACCGTCCCTGAGTCCACTTAACTCTGACGGGTACCTAACTCAAGTTAGGGAAAGTAAAGGCGGCTAGGCATAGTGCTGACCACACTATCTCTTCATATGCCGAGGTCACAGAAAACAATTGAACTCTACTTCACTTGCCCCATAGACCGTAAGGTTTGAAATGGAAACTTTACTTTTTTTTTTATTAGTGCTTGAATAGACTCAGCACTTAGGAGACTAAACGTTAATTTCCTCTTTATATCAAGCGATCCATTGGGCAGGTAAAGTAGAGTTCATATTTTTTAAAATCTTCAGCATAATGGATAACGTAGTCATCCTTATCCACAGCCGCCTTTACTTTCCCAAACTTAAGTCATGTACGCATCAGAGTTGGGTGGAGTCAGTGACGTCATACAGTCAAATGTCCGAACTCTAGACCTTCGTGTTAGCTTGAAGAGAGCTATTGATGCCTTTCATATCGAAGACACGGTCGGATGGTACAGCTTTCGACTGTTAACACGAAAGTCTTAAGTTCGAATCCCGGGTTAGGGTCCGTAGAAATGCCTAGAGAAAACAATGCAACCGCACTTTAATAGGGCTGGTAAGTAGGTCACCAACTAGTTCTACGGCTCAATAAAACCTGCATGAGCCATATAACTGGTTGGTGACCTACTTACCAGCCCCATTAGCGTTGGAACCTTCTCCAACTACGTCAAATTGTGTACCAGACTATGGCGTTGGGAGAACCTTGATTTAACATAAACAAACAATGAATGTAAACAAATCAACCGTACCTTAATTAGCGTCGGAAACTTATCTTCATAAGCGTCGGAATCTTACCTTAATTAGTGTCGGAACCTTACCTTAATTAGCGTCGGAACCTTACCTTAATTAGCGTCGGAACCTTACCTTAATTAGCGTCGGAACCTTACCTTAATTAGCGTCGGAACCTTACCTTAATTAGCATCGGAACCTAACCTTAATTAGCGTCGGAACCTTACCTTAATTAGCGTCGGAATCTTATCTTAATTAGCGTCGGAACCTAACCTTAATTAGCGTCGGAACCTTACCTTAATTAGCGTCGAAACTGTCTCGAAAGATGTCTACGGCGTTGGCAGATCCTTGACTTAACAAAGACAGTAAACAAATCAACGTCGGAACCTTACCTTAATTAGCGTCGGAACCGTCTCGAGATACGTCGGTAGGTGGTCTAGTCTATGCGGCTCGAGGACGGTGTTGAGGTCCCAGCCGGAAAATTCCGGCAGACCGGGGCGTTTCTTCGCCGGGGGGACCATGGGCAGCACCGGCCTCTGCAACGACGACAAGAACGTGGCCCTCATCGCCTCCCTCTCTTCCTCAGTCGGTACCTTCTGCTTCAGCACCTTGGGCAGCTTTCTCCTCTTGGGTGGCACGTTCAGGGTCAACGCTTTCGCGGTGGACTTCTTCACCGGGATATGCAGCGCTTCAAGTTCAGATAGGGTTGAAGGTGGTGAACTGGACATCTCGATAGAACTTTCAAAGTCGCTGGAGAATTCGTCGAATTCGTCATCATCTTCTTCGTCACTCTCGTCATCTCTGATTTCGCGTCTCTTCTTTTTATACTGTTGTAGGATATACAATGTGAAAAGAGATTAAAGGATATACTATGTGAAAATGATTGAAGGATATACAATGTGAAAGAGATTGAAAGATATACAATGTGAAAAGAGATTGAAGGATATACAATGTGAAAAGAGACTAAAGGATATACAACGTGAAAAGAGATTGAAGGTTATACAATGTGAAAAGAGATTGAAGGATATACTATGTGAAAAGAGATTAAAGGATATACTATGTGAAAAGAGATTGAAGGTTATACAATGTGAAAAGAGATTGAAAGATATACAATGTGAAAGAGATTGAAGGATATACAATGTGAAAAGAGACTAAAGGATATACAACGTGAAAAGAGATTGAAGGGTATACATTGTGAAAAGAGATTGAAGGATATACAATGTGAAAAGAGATTAAAGGATATACAATGTGAAAATGATTGAAGGATATACATTGTGAAAAGAGATTGAAGGATATACTATGTGAAAGATATTGAAGGATATACAATGTGAAAAGAGATGTTTAAAGGCGGGGAATATAGTTTCATATTGACAGTTTCTAATGAAAAGTCACTTCAAAAAAAAAAAATAAGTGGATCTTTATAATTTTGTTACCGGGTGGAGTGGTTGGGTGATAGAGCGTTCGACTACGATCTCGAAAGTCTCGAGTTTAGTTCGAGTCTGTTGGACGTCCCTGAGTCAACCCAGTTGGAATGGGTACCTGACTCACGTTAGGGAAAGTAAAAGCGCCTGGGCATACTGACCCAACTATCCCTCCATTACTAAAAATAGATTATCTCTACTTCACCTGCTATTTAAACCGTAATGTCCAAAAGTTTTTCTTTTCTTTTTCTAATTTTGACAGGGTTTTTTCATTGATAAATTATTCACGATGACAAGAATTCTAAATATTACTTTTTGTCATTTAATACATTTTGATAAATGACTCTTCAGTTTGGCATATCATCATCATCTTTTCTCGTTCGTGCCCAAGACACATGAGGCAGATGAAACAGAGCTAGTCTGTTTGAGACCTCAGCATTTGAAGGGATAGTGTGGGCAGCCTATGTTTTCACTAATGTGAGTTGGGTACCCATCAGAGCTGGGTTGACTCAGGATTATTCTACTGACTTGAACCCGGATTCAAACTCGAGACTTTCGTGTTAGCAAACAAGCTCTCTAACGCTTTCGCATTTTGTCTTCAGTAAAAGGAAATATGGATAAATATTACATTTTCATTTTTACCTTCTCTCGCTCTTCCCGCTCCGAAACTCTTCTTCTCCTCTCGCGAACTTGTCCAGGCTTTAGAAATAGAAAATAACATATACATTATACTTATTGTTCGATGAAAGAAAAATATATTTTTTCAAAATTTGAATACCTACTGACACATTTAGCAGTAAACTTTACCTTGAAGCAAATAACAAAAAAAAAAAAAAGCTAAAATTCTAATTCACATTCCGTGTCAAATGATATACTATAAGCAAAAAAAAAAATGAATTGTACAACAGTAAACGAAATATACACGAAAATAAAAATCCCCGAATATGTCAAACCAGGGGCGTAGCGAAGGGGGGGGGGGGGGGGCGTTGGGTGCGGACCGCACCGGGTGACACCATTTAGGGGGGTGACACCAAGGCAAAAAATAGCAAAATATTTAGAGAAAAACTCGAGGGGAAGGGTGCAAATCGAAAGTTTGAGGGGGGGGGGGGTGCAAATCGATAACTTGAGGGGGGGGGTGGTGCAAATCGAAAATTTGAAAGTTTGTCCCTGGGAAGGGTCTCTATATCTCTGGGGGGGGGGGGGGGGTGACATCATTAAGTGCCGCACCGGGTGACACCCGACCTCGCTACGCCACTGTGTCAAACAATAAATCTACAAGAAAAAAAAATGAAATTTACCCTGAAAAATGAAAAAAAAAATCAACTAAACTTAAACAAATCAACCTACCAAGTCAAAAGATAACTTTTTCGATAACATTATCATCTCTGAATTCGTCTATTGGATGAAAAGAACAAGTATTTATTTAAGAGCATAGTTAAGTATAAACTAGAATAATTCTCAGTATCTTCAACTCTATTAAACCTTCTCTCAATGTTTTGTCTAAAGATATTAATTTAAATATTTAGTTTGATAGTGGTGTCTCTCTTACCCTTTGTAAAGCGAGTTTCTCAACCTCTTTCTTTATTTGAGTAGAAATCTAAATGATTATATATATATATATATATATATATATATATATATATATATATATATATATATATATATATTTGTGGTGAAAATTATATACCGTCAAGATAGAACTTAGCAATCAGAAAGTTCAACACACACACGACAAGTTTATAGAAAACGTGAAGTCAGACAAGTTAACCGAACACAACTACAAGTTTACAGAAAACTTGCAGTCAAACACACAACAAGTTTACCTTTATGTTCTCGTCTTCATACTTATTGATCAGGTCGGGCTTGCCAAGATCTATCATATCCTGTTCATGTTTCTCTAGCAACTTCTGCAGGTCGCGCATCGTCTTGATCTTTTCTTCCGTATCCAGATCGGTCTTAAGCCGTTCCATCAGCTCCTGTATGTTTTTAGACACAGACTCCGTGTGCGACTTTCTTCTCTCAGCCGCCTCTCCTTCCAATGACTTCGCTGGTGATTCCGTACGAGGCGTGCCTGGCTTAACAACCGCATCCGGCGCACTTTTCAACCGATCGATAAGATCCTGACTTAGTTTCAACGAGGCATCCTGAGCACTTTTGAGACGTTCGGCTAGTTCCAGCTCTGTTGAGTGTCTGAGTGCCGCATCCGTTATACTTTTTAGACGGTCTGCAAGGTCATGACTCGGTTTGACTGAGACTTCCGTTGGAGTTTTAAAGCGTTCAGGTAGCTCCTGACTTGGTCTTGCGTCGCTTAGTTTTGAGTCCTTTCGTCCCTTTACGCTAGTTGGTACTTCCGGCTTGGTTCTGAGGCTGTCTCGTCTCTGTAAGAAAAGAAAATATGAATTCAAAATCAGAATTTCGAAAAAAAAAATGACAACCCCAAAACTCCACGGTCGAATTAAGCTTCCCGAGATTTTTTCGAGATTTGCAATTTTTGTTTTGGCGAAATGTCTTTCGACATTGCCTTTCTGACAACTTACTGTGTTCAAACTACAGAGGCCGCACAATACGCGCGAGTAGGATAGTATAAATTTGGAGACTACAATTGCTACAACCACAAATCATCTTTGAGCCTAGAGTATGCCTACTCTGTGAAAACATATAACGTGATTATGAAATATGTAAAAAAAATTATCGCAGTTCTTAGCGCTTTGAGTGTAGTTGAATGCCAAAACACTGGATTAAAAAAATATTTCTACTGGTCTAGAACTACAGTGCCAAGCAAGCGCTCGAGCTCAAACTCAGCTCTAATGAGTACCTGGTTTAAACCTAGTTCTTCTTCTGCGTTCTTAATTTTTATTGTTGGAAAAGATTCCAACACAGTTAAGTATACGTGTCAACGCTTTATGCGCCATATAGGCCGTTGATTCTGATTTCAGCCTGTTTTTTTTTATTTTCTTCTATAGCCTTTGTCCTTTCAAGAACAAACTACAAGGCAGCAGTTGGCGTGGTCGAGTCGGTAAAGCTCATGGTTGCTAAACCGAAAAGTCTCGAGTTCGAACCCTCGGGCAGATGAGGCTCGTTAGCTGGGGACAGCCACTCTTCTAGGAGAGACAACTCCAAAATCAATCAATTGCTGCCTTATAGTGTGTTCTTGGTTGGACAAACGCTACGGAAGCAAATCCAAAAAGAAAAGCAGGTTGACACGTAACGCTTAATAGTGATGGAAGCATGGTTGAGTCGGCAAAGCTCACGGTTGATAAATTCGAAAAAAAAAGCTTCGAGTTTTTCGAGTTCAAACCCTCTGGAAGACAAGGCTCGATCCCTTCCAACACTAAAAATTAAGAACGAAGAAGAAGAAGAAGAAAAAGTTTGATTTTGGAGTTGTCTCTCCTAGAAGAGTTGCTTTACCCAGCTGTTGAGTCTCATCTGCCCAAGGGTTCGAACTCGAGACTTTTCAGTTTAGCAACCATGAGCATTACCGACTTGACCACGCTGACCCTTAAACCTGGAGCATTCTGACGTAATGATAATCAAACTATATCTTTGTAGGACGTTCCTGGGTCCACCCAGATAAAGTTAATTGTAAATTAAGCTTGGCATATTAATGACCACATAATCTATTTTTATACCTTGGTCAAGAAAAACGTGAACACTACATCATCTACTCTATGTGTAGTTACATCTGCAAGCGGAACTTTACATTTTTTATTACTTCATTATCATCTCTATCATACATAAGATCTGAAACAGTGGTTCTTTTATCTTGTACTCAGAAGTCTGTGGCGAAATTTCGATCGCGCTTTGAAATCATTATCAGCCAGTCAAGGGAAATAACTCAATAAATTTAAACAATCAATTGCCTTGGCTTACCTCAGATTTATCCAACTTTTCGGGTTTTTCAAATTTATCCGTTTTATCGGGTTTTCCCATGGTATCAACTTGCGGCCAAACTTCGTTGCGAGCTTCTTGAATCTCCTTGGTGACGGCGAGGGAAATCTTGTCTTCATTGGACAGCTTCTCAAAGAACTTGGAAAAGAGATAAACAATCAGTGGCGTAGCTAGGTCGGGTGTCACCCGGTGCCGCACTTGATGGTGTTAACCCCCAGAGGCGTAGCGACCCTTCCCGGGGACAAATTTTCGATTTGCACCCCCCTCAAACTGTCGATTTGCACCCCCCCATCACGTTTTCGATTTGCACCCCCTCCTCAAGTTTTTCTCTATATATTTTGCTATTTTTTGCCTTGGTGTCACCCCCCCCCCCCCTAAATGGTGTCACCCGGTGCGATCCGCACCCCCGCCGCCCCCCTCGCTACGCCTCTGTAAACAATTGCGACACACGGTTCAAATAGTGCTTGATTTACGAACGTTTAACTGCATAAATCCTTACAGTGAAAACTCACAATATTTGCGTAATTAAAATAGCAAACAAAACCAAATGGTTCTCCCACAGTCATTTGTTTTATTAATTAGTAAAAAAAAATAAAATGTGCTTTCATTCTACTGTCAAGCAACGGTTTTATTCATTCAGAAAAACCAATACCCCCCCCCCTCTATTCATAAAAAACAACAAACCTAAACATATTTAGACAACTCTCCATTGCTGTTGACAAAGGGTAAATTAAAACATACCTTGTACATCTCAAATTCTTTTTTAGATTTCTCTAGAAGCTTCTCTTCCGTTCTCGATGACTGTATCATCTGTAGCTCCTAAATGCGGGTATACACACACATAGATATACAATTATATATATATATATATATATATATATATATATATATATATATATATATACTTATAAATATATTGGCTGTATATAGTCTATATATATATATATATATATATATATATATATATATATATATATATATATATATATATATATATATATATATATATATATATAATTGGAAAAGTAAGTTTAATTAGAAATCCATTTAAAAAAATTACGAATCGAAAAAAAATCTGAAATAAATACGACAATTTAAATGCGTGAATATTCTGACATTTTAGTCGCCTCACATGCCATTTACAACCTTCTAATAGTTTTTTGAGGTGGCCGTTCATGACGTGAGTCAATGGGTCAGCTTTTGGAAAGTAGAGTTATCGCCCTGTTACCAAACTACAACAAATTTTGCTCTAAAATAACCGCAGACCTTTTCAAGTTGTAGAACATCGATGGACGGGATTTCCAGACTTTCGCGGTCAGGTTTTTCTTCGTTGATTCTGGACATTTCCTGCAGGTTCTCATGAGACATGTGTTCTTTGAGTTTCTGGCGCTATGGAAGACATTATGTACCGTGTTAGACATGTGTTCTTTGAGTTTCTGGCGCTATGGAAGACATTATGTACCGTGTTAGACATATGATCTTTGAGTTTCTGGCACTATGGAAGACATTATGTACCGTGTTAGACATGTGTTCTTTGAGTTTCTGGCGCTATGGAAGACATTATGTACCGTGTTAGACATGTATTCTTTGAGTTTCTGGCGCTATGGAAGACATTATGTACCGTGTTAGAAATGTGTTCTTTGAGTCTCTGGCGCTATGAAAGACATTATGTACCGTGTTAGACATGTGTTCTTTGAGTTTCTGACGCTATGAAAGACATTATGTACCGTGTTAGACATGTGTTCTTTGAGTTTCTGACGCTATGAAAGACATTATGTACCGTGTTAGACATGTGTTCTTTGAGTTTCTGGCGCTATGGCAGACATTATGTACCGTGTTAGACATGTGTTCTTTGAGTTTCTGGCGCTATGGCAGACATTATGTACCGTGTTAGACATGTGTTCTTTGAGTCTCTGGCGCGGTGTCAGTGAAAAGTTAAGTTACAGACATTATTTACCGTGTGTGGTATGTTGTATTTGAGGGGAAAAGTCTAAATTACGGACATTATGTACTATGGGCGACATAGGCTCTTAGAGAGGAAAAGTCAAAATTACAGACACTATGCACTGTGTGGATTATGTTGTATTTGAGGGGAAACGTCTAAATTACAGACATTATTTACTGTGTGGGGTATGTTACAATTGAGGAGAAAAGTCTAAATTACAGACATTATTTACTGTAAGGAGTATGTTACAATTGAGGAGAAAAGTCTAAATTACAGACATTATTTACTATGTGGGACACGGCCTATTATAAATTCTGGCGCCGTGTGAGTACATATTTAGATCAACTCACAGTGTCTGGTCCACCCACCGTCTACGTGTATAAGTGATGTATGCAATGAATGATAACCCAATGTTGAGGCTATTATAGGCCATCCAATGAAATAATTCCAAACAATTACCTTCTGCCTTTCTTTCTCCTCCATGGCTGCATCAGGCAAAATTACTGGCCTTTGTCTTTCAACACGTTGCTGAAAAAAAAAACAGGATATTGCAAAACAGATATACAGGGAGCTTAGATACAATAAATATGGGTGATTTGAGAAATGTAGGTGATTTGAGAAATGTGGGTGATTTGAGAAATGTAGGTGATTTGAGAAATGTGGGTGATTTGAGAAATGTAGGTGATTTGAGAAATGTGGGTGATTTGAGAAATGTGGGTGATTTGAGAAATGTGGGTGATTTGAGAAATGTGTTTGATTTGAGAAATGTGGGTGATTTTGGAAATGTGGATGATTTGAGAAATGTGGGTGATTTGAGAGATGTGGGTGATTTGAGAAATGTGGGTGATTTGAGAAATGTGGGTGATTTGAGAAATGTGGGTGATTTGAGAAATGTGGGTGATTTGAGAAATGTGGGTGATTTGAGAAATGTGGGTGATTTGAGAAATGTGGGTGATTTGAGAAATGTGTTTGATTTGAGAAATGTGGGTGATTTGAGAAATGTGTTTGATTTGAGAAATGTGGGTGATTTGAGAAATGTGGGTGATTTGAGAAATGTGGTTGATTTGAGAAATGTGGGTGATTTGAGAAATGTGGGTGATTTGAGAAATGTGGGTGATTTTGGAAATGTGGTTGATTTGAGAAATGTGGGTGATTTTGGAAATGTGGGTGATTTGAGAAATGTGGGTGATTTTGGAAATGTGGGTGATTTGAGAAATGTGGGTGATTTTGGAAATGTGGGTGATTTTGGAAATGTGGATGATTTTGGAAATGTGGATGATTTTGGAAATGTGGATGATTTTGGAAATGTGGGTGATTTGAAAAATGTGGGTGATTTGAAAAATGTGGGTGATTTGAGAAATGAGGGTGATTTGAGAAATGTTGGTTGATTTCAGAAATCTGTCATTTGAGAAATGTGGATGATTTTGGAAATGTGGGTGATTTTGAGATATGTGGGTGATTTTAAAGATTTCCTTTTTACTTCTTTCTCAACGTGTTATGTAAAAGAGCCAGAAATTTTCTACTCCCCCCCCCCCACATGTAACCATTCTGCGTCAATTTTGTAGGTATCGTACGCAGAATAAGATATTAATATTTTAACTATGAAAGGAAGAGAGTAGAAAAAAAAGCCAAACTCACGGCCTCGACTTCTTGTTGCTCTTTTATATTTCTCAGGAAATCCATCGCATCGGCTTTGATTTTGTCCAACACTTCAGCTCTCAATCTGTCGATCGCTTCGTTTTTAATTCTGTCTATAGCGTCCTTTTGGGCTTTCTTGATCGCCTCCGCCGTGGCCTCGGCTAGAAAATCTGGTTCCAGTTTGCTTAGAGCATCCGCCTTGTAACTCTCCAACGCCCCCTGAACAATCTGGGATTTGGCTTCTTCGAGAATCTTCTCTACCTTAAACATTTTACATTTCTCTAAATCCTCAAACAGTGCCGCTGGATCGGTCTCGAACTCGAACATAGCCGCAACTTGTTCTTTGATCTTGTCGATATTCGCCGCGAACAAATCATCCACGTCTTTCCCCGTGTACGAATTAAACTCATTCGCTTTGTATTTAGCCAGTGCTTCAGACATAACCAAGTCCAGCGCGTCCTCTTTCATTTTCTCCACGATCTCGTTGATATAGTTGGCGGCTTCTTCATTACCAGCGTCGGCGTGAACCCGAATGTTAGTCGACGATTTCAACGCTTTCATCTTAAACACGTTCAAGCTTTCCGCCATGTAGTCTTCTAGTTCCCCGTTATCGAACTTCTCAGAGGCGTCGAATGTAATCCTGATCATGTTATCCGATCTCGCGGCTTCGATTCTCTCCGCGATGTAGTCGTTCAACTCCCCGGCTTTGTATCTCTCCTGGGCCTCCGCTTGCACCAGCTCCTGTGAGTTCTCCTCCAGTTTAGCGAGGCTTTTCTGCATCATCTGGTCTGCCTCGCCCGAAGTGATCTTCTCATAGGCTTTGTCGCGGACCTTCAAGTACTCGTCGTCCGTCAGAGGAACGTTTTCCTCCATGATTTTATCGATTTCGCTTGGCCTCAATAACACTTTCATCTCTTTTCTCGTATCTGCTTCTTCGACTTCGCGTTTCTTTGACTTTGTCTAGTGGATAAATATTTGTTCAAAGCTTTGTATATATATATATATATATATATATATATATATATATATATATATATATATATATATATATATATATATATCCATATATGTATATATGTTTATATATACGCATACGCTGACGCATACGCATACGCACACACACATACACACATACACATACACACACATACAAACACACATACACATGCAAATACACATACACATATACATACACATATACATACACATACACAAACACTTATACATACACATACACATACATATACATAAACATATACATATACATATACATATACATATACATATACATATACATATACATATACATATACATATACATATACATATACATATACATATACATATACATATATAGACAGATAAATACATAAACAGACAAGTCGACTACTGGACCATATCAAAGAAATAAAAAGTTCGTTACAGCATGTGTATATATCACCAACGCAAACCTTTTTTCTTTACCTTTTTCTTGCCTGTCTTTCCTACATCAAGATCATCGTCTTCCTACACAACAGATGTATTAAAATGAAAAAAAAACCCACTTAAAATTACAATACAAGAGAGTGATTAATAAGTACGTAAAGGAGGCTAAAATGATATTTATGTGAGGGGAGAGTTTAGGGCCTAGAGGGCTATCGACCCATTTCGCGCCCGGGGTGAACTTTCAATTTTACGCCCGTCCCCTCGAATTTGCAAAGGTCGAGGCGCTTTTTTTCACTCAAAGTTCTCTTTTTAGTAAGTAAAACCAAGTAGCTGTCATGTTTTTCTACTTCCATGGTGTATACTTCAGTAATCTACCAGGGAATAAACATTTCTGTCTTTTTTTTTTCAACCCCGTTTAGCGCCCCTCTAAAATTGGCGGCCCGAGGCGTACATTAAGGAATCGTCAAGGCTAAATTGTAAGGGAGTGTGGGCATGTATAACGCGTCGAAGAGAATCATTTAAAGTAGCACATAATGTAGGCTGTAAGCGTATTGTAGGCTGCCACTGGCAAGTTCTCTCTCACTAGCTCTGCTAAAGTGATAATTTTACAAATAAGAACTTATTCCATATTGCCTTTCAATAAGCATAGGACCTATATTGGTCTATCTATATCGTTAAACTATTTTAAAAGTATAAACAACATGATTACAAAAACTCAGATGACCTAACATGACCTAACGTGACCTATAATGACCTAGATGACCAGCTATTACCTAAGTTGTTTAATATGACCTATATGTTCTGACATAACCAAACTACTTACTTTATGTTCCTTCTCCTTCTTAGTACTGGATGACGCCTTTTTATCTATCTTCCTCTCCTGAATACATAATATATACATATTCAAATGTTACAAATATCAGTGGCGTAGCCAGGATCGTCTCAAGGGGGGGGGGGGGAGGGGTTCCAATTTTTACCCGGGGACAAACTTTCGATTTGCACACCCCCCCCCCCTCAAACTTTAGATTTGCACCCCCCTCATACTTTATATATATATACCGAAGGGTCCCTGGGGTGGGGGGGTTATGACCCCCCTAACCCCCCCTGCCTACGCCACTGATATATATATATATATATATATATATATATATATATATATATATATATATATATATATATATATATATATATATATGAAACTGACAAAACAAGAGACGTAGATCTAGATATAAATTGAGATACAGAGTAAAATACAGATAAAAGGTACATAGATACATTGACTTGACTTTATAGTTATATAGATAAACAGCTGATCTTACTCTACTGTAAGATGTAACAGCTTACCATACTCTACTGTAAGATGTAACAGATTACCTTACTCTACTGTAAGATGTAGCAGCCTACCTTACTCTCCGATCTCGAATCTGTCCCTGGTTTTGCTGGTCCTTGCAATGACTGTTAAAAAAAACAAAGTTTATGTTGAGAGTCACCTGGAGAGTCACCAGGAGAGTCACTATGAGAGTCACCAGGAGAGTCACTAGATTGGGCGTCACGCGGTGCAACCTCTCAGCCGATGATTAACAACCATCTAACACCCAATCACAGCTTACGCTAACAATCATCTAGTACCCAATCACAACTTACGCTAACAATCATCTAGCACCCATTCACAACTTAAGCTAACAGTCACCTAGTACCCAATCACTATATACGCTAACAATCAGCTAGCACCAATCACAACTTACGCTAACAATAATCACAACTTACGCTATCAATCATCACAACATACGCTAATAATCATAACAACTTACGCTAACAATCATCACAACTTACGGTAACAATCATCACAACTTACGCTAACAATCATCACAACTTACGCTAACAATCATCACAACTTACGCTAACAATCATCACAACGTCCTGCAGTTTTCTCCACTCCATCGGCTGTTTCTTCTGCTCTTTGCTGCCCTGTCGTGAAACAAAAGAGGGGGTCATTTACAGAGGGGTCATTTAAAGAGGGGTCATACATAGGGGGGGTCATACACAGATGGGTCCTTCATAGAGGGATGATACACAGAGGGGTCATACATAGGGGGGTCATTCATAGGGGGGGGGGGTCATTCATAGGTGGGCCATTCATAGAGGGGTCATACACAGATGGGTCCTTCATAGAGGAGTGATACACATAGGGGTCATTCATAGAGGGGTCATACATAGGGGGTCATTTACAGAGGAGTCATACACAGAGAGTTCATTTACAGAGGGGTTATACATAGGGGGGGTCATACACAGATGGGTCCTTCATAGAGGAGTGATACACATAGGGGTCATTCATAGAGGGGTCATCATAGAGGGGTCATCCAGAGAGGGGTCATTCATAGTGGGGTCATTCATAGTGGGGTCATTCATAGAAGGGTCTTTCATAGTGGGGTCATTCATAGAGGAGTTTTTAAACTTACTTCCATGGGTTGCAGGACAAATGATCTCAGGACAAATGATCTCAGGACATATGATCTCAGGACAAATAATCTCAGGACAAATGAACTCAGGACAAATGATCTCAGGACAAATGATCTCAGGACAAATGAACTCAGGACAAATGAACTCAGGACAAATGATCTCAGGACAAATAAACTCATGACAAATGATCTCAGGACAAATGATCTCAGGACAAATGATCTCAGGACAAATGATCTCAGGACAAATGATCTCAGGACAAATGATCTCAGGACAAATGAACTCAGGACAAATGAACTCAGGACAAATGATCTCAGGACAAATAAACTCATGACAAATGATCTCAGGACAAATGATCTCAGGACAAATGATCTCAGGACAAATGATCTCAGGACAAATGATCTCAGAACAAATGATCTCAGGACAAATGAACTCAGGACAAATGATCTCAGGACAAATGAACTCAGGACAAATGATCTCAGGACAAATGATCTCAGGACAAATGATCTCAGGACATATGATCTCAGGACAAATGATCTCAGGACAAATGATCTCAGGACAAATGATCTCAGGACAAATGATCTCAGGACAAATGATCTCAGGACAAATGATCTCAGGACAAATGATCTCAGGACAAATGATCTCAGGACAAATGATCTCAGGACAAATGATCTCAGGACATATGATCTCAGGACACATGATCTCAGGACAAATGATCTCACTCTCCATATAGACAAAATGTTTTCGCTGGTTAATCATTCCCCCCCCCCCCCCCCCCGAAAAAAAGAACTCACCCAATCTACAACTTTACATGCATTAACACCCCATTAAAAATGAAGTAGGGGGGGGGGGGGTGGGAGGATTGGAGATTTCCGGTTTAACAGGGGTGTAATCCTACTTCGCGGTACCACAATGAACGATTAAAACTGTGAGTAGCAATAACGCTAGATCAGAGGCGTAGCGACCCTTCCCGGCGCCCGGGGACAAACTTTCGATATGCACCCCTCCCCCCTCAGACTTTCGATTTGCACCCCCCCTTCAAGCTTTCAATTTCTTTTTTCAACCCATTTTGGCGCTCCCTAAGGTTGGCGCCCGGGGACATATGTCCCCCCCCCCCTTCGCTACGCCTCTGTGCTAGATTAAGTATACAATACACAATATCTGGGGAAAGAACAACATACATCTGCGGTTTGATCAGCTTTGTCTTCTTCAATAAGCTCCTGTACTATCTGAAATTTACGCAAAAAAAAAAAACAACAAAAAAACGTTAAACTTTTCTTATAAATTATATATCCATATAATAAAAATCAGAATATTCCTTAGTTAAGTGTTATATACAATTATAAAATAACACCAGACATTCAACTGTTAGTTAAAAAAAGAATTGTAAAAATAATGTATAAAATCTTAGGTAAATAGCCGAACCTGTTGCGGGGGATTGTCGTCCCATCTGCCCGCGTAGCATTTGCTACCTGAAACACAGGATTAACGTTAGTCTCATGGTAGGATTATTCACGCGTCTATAGATCTAAATTCAGATACACACAGACTCTAACGCACTCACATACAAACACACACACACACACAAACACACACACGCACACGCACACGCACACACACACACACACACACACACACACACACACACACACACACACACACACACATATATATATACCTATACGTGAGTGTATATGTATAAGCTTATGTTTGTATGTGTGTATCTGTATGTCGAAAACATGTAGCCTATTTATATAGATATAAAAAACTTAGCTACTAGCCCATCACATGTTAGTACAAATGAGATATAAAGAATAAAAAATATTTTCTTATTTCAGTTATAATCTTAGAGACGCAGAGGGGGGTATCCGCCCCATGCGTCCGTCGACATTAGCCGGCGTACGCCAATTCTAGTAGGTGGGGAATGTGGGTAATCTTGTTAGTAGCGTAGCCAGGATCGTCTCATGGGGGGGGGGGGGGGGGGGGGTCAAATTTTTACCCGGGGACAAACTTTCGATTTGCACCCCCCTTTCAAACTTTCGATTTGCACCCCCCTTTCAAACTTTTGATTTGCACCCCCCCCCCTCAAACTTTTGATTTGCACCCCCCTCAAACTTTCGATTTGCACCCCCCCCTCAAACTTTTGATTTGCACCCCCCTCAAACTTTCGATTTGCACCCCCCCTTCATACTTTATATATATACCGAGGGGTCTATGGGGGGGGTTATTACCCCCCCCCCTAATCTCCCCCCCCTGCCTACGCCACTGCACCTTGTACATGCTAGCATGGGCGTGTCGGTGCTTGGCCAACCTACCTCGGCGGGGCTTCTCCTGCTCCACCCCGAGCTTGCTGGTGTTCCACATGGCCTGAAGTCGTTTGGCCACCCTGGCCAAAACCGGGTCGACCTTTTCGTACTTTTTCCGCGACGTTACCTCCTGGACCGTCTCCTGTTTCGGTTGCTCTTCTTCTGCTTCCCCGCTCTTTCGTCGGTGGAAGAGCAAGACCTTGTTTATACTTGATTTCCACAGGGAATGGGTGCTTGATCTGATCGCAGCTCCTTGTTTTGAAAGAAAGCATACATCAACACGAATACAAATAATATGAAAACACTATTGGGACCCGTGGAAAGAAAAAAAAACAAAGTTTAAACGGAGGCGTTAGAATAGAGAGGAGGGGGCAGGGGAAGTGGAGGACTAAAGACATGGAAATGGACGAGTAAAGAATCTTCTTTAGAACTAGTGATAAATTAAGCAGGTGAAGTAGAGTTCATGTTTATTGAACTCGGCATATGAAGGGAACGTGTAGTCAGCACTTAGCCCAGCCACCTTTACTTTCCCTAACCTGAGTTAGGTACTCATCAGAGCTGGGTAGACTCAGGGACGTACTACTCTCTTGGACTCGGATTCGAACTCGAGATTTTCGTGTTATCAGCCTAGCGCTCTACCGCTTAGGCCACGCCATTCTGAGTTAATCTCCCATTTGACATAACGAAATCCGATAGATCCAGATTTTTATAGGAAATGTCACTGCAAAGATTTTTTAAATAATTCAGTGACCTCGGCTTATGAAGTGATAGTGTTGGCAGCACTATGCCCAGCTGCCTTTACTTTCCCTAACTAGAGTCAGGTACCCATCAAAGCTGGGTGGACTAGAGTCAAGTACCCATCAGAGCTGGGTGGACTAGAATCAGGTACCCATCAGAGCTGGGTGGACTAGAGTCAGGTACCCATCAGAGCTGGGTGGACTAGAGTCAGGTACCCATCAGAGCTGGGTGGACTAGAGTCAGGTACCCATCAGAGCTGGGTGGACTAGAGTCAGGTACCCATCAGAGCTGGGTGGAGTAGAGTCAGGTACTCATCAGAGCTGGGTGTACTAGAGTCAGGTACCCATCAGAGCTGGGTGGACTAGAGTCAGATACCCATCAGAGCTGGGTGGACTAGAGTCAGGTACCCTTCAGAGCTGGGTGGACTAGAGTCAGGTACCCATCAGAGCTGGGTGGACTCAGCTACGTCACACAGACTCGAACCCATGATCCGAACTCAAGACTTCTGGGTTAGCAGCCAAAAGTTGTACCGTTCAACCACGTGTGTACACCATCCCATAACCTAAAACCCACCTGGCATAGGAGACGGTTTGTCAGACTCGTCAGAAAGAGCTAGATGTGGAAGAAAGAGAAAAATCACAGTTACTATTATATATAGTGCGGTGAGGTTCTGTTGGTGAACAATGTGGGATTTGACTGGTCATTAGTGACTCGCATAACATTTGGACCAAATGGTGTGTGATGTTGTGGCCGAGTAGACCGTATGGTGGGTGGGGTGTTGAGGTGTTGGGGTGGGGTGTTGAGGTGTTGGGGTGCAGAGGGTGGGGTGTCGGGGTGGGAGTGGGGTGTTGAAGTGTCGGGGTGGGGGTGGGGTGTCGGGGTGGGAGTGGGGATGGGGTGTTGTGGCCCAGTGGACCGTATATAGGGTGGGGTGTTGAGGGTGGGGTGTTGAGGGTGGGGTGTCGGGGTGGAAGTGGGGTGTTAAGGTGTTGGGGTGGGGGTGGGGTGTTGAGATGTGGGGTGTTGAGATGTGGGGTGTTGAGGGTGAGGTGTTGAGGGTGGGGTGTTGAGGGTGGGGTGTTGAGATGTGGGGTACTGTGTCCGAGTGGACCGTATAGAGGGTGGGGTGTTAGGGTAGGGCTGGAAGTATAGGTGTAGGGTGCTTCGGGTGGGGTGTCGGGTTGGGGGTTTTCGGGTGGGGTTGGGGTTTAGAGGGTATAATTTGAACCCTATGGCTTAAACCCAATAAGCGTTACAATGAGGTCACAATGTTGTGTCGACTAGATTTTTTAAAAAAAGGCGACACTATTGCCTTTTGGGCATTCCTCTCATTATTTAAAAATATACCAAGGGGCGTCGCCGGGTGGGGTGTGAAGCCCCCCACATAGCAACACAGACTCGTGCCGCCACATTGAAAACACTAGATGAAACTTACTAGGAGCTTCTGTAGGGGGAAAAAGCTGGTCAGCAGAAGACGATAGTAAAAGCTCGAAATCTATAAAACAATACACACATTAGGTGAGGATTCTTAAATATAATATATATATATATATATATATATATATATATATATATATATATATATATATATAAGAATATATGTATATATATAAATATAGATATTTGTATACATATAAGTATATATATATATATATATATATATATATATATATATATATATATATATATATATATATATATATATATATATATATATATATATATATTCACATATATATTTTTACGTTACATAGCCTGATATTTCTTTCAGATGACAGGCAGTGTGACATTTGGCCTACTGTAGACTGACAGTCTGTATAACAGTGTGACATTTGGCCTACTGTATAACTGTGTGAAGTTTGGCCTACTGTATAACAGTGTGACATTTGGCCTACTGTGCTCAGACTGTATAACTGTGACATTTGGCAAACTGTGCTCAGACTGTATAACAGTGTGACATTTGGCCTACTGTACTGCGACTGTATAATAGTGTGACTTGCGGCCTTCTGTAGACCGACAGTCTGTATAACAGTGTGACATTTTGCCTACTGCTCTCAGACTGTATAACTGTGTGACATTTGGCAAACTGTGCTCAGACTGTATAACTGTGTGACATTTGGCCTACTGTGCTCAGACTGTATAACAGTGTGACATTTGGCCTACTGTGCTCAGACTGTATAACTGTGTGACATTTGGCCTACTGTGCTCAGACTGTATAACTGTGTGACATTTGACATTTGGCCTACTGTGCTCAGACTCTAAAACAGTGTGCCATTTGGCCTACTGTAGACTGGTCGTCTGCCGTGCACATCACTGACCTGCATCATCAGCAGCACCGTCCTCTCCTGGCGTTGATGGAGACTGGCGCCCAGATGGAGATATTTGTCGTCCCATAGTTGAAACTTCAGTAAGATAAAAACAAATCAGCTTATTAAATCAGAGTCGTAGCGAGGGGGGGGGGACATATGTCCACGGGCGCCGAGCTTAGGGGGCGCCAAAATGGGTTGAAAAAATAAATTAATTGAAAGCTTGAGGGGGGGGTGCAAATCGAAAATTTGAGGGGTATGGGGTTCAAATCGAAATCTTGGGGGGTGGGGGCGGGGTGTAAAACTAAAGTTTGAGGGGGGGGTCTTCTTCTTCTTCGTTCTTAATTTTTAGTGTTGGAAGGAATCGAGTCTTATCTTCCAGAGGGTTGAACTCGAGACTTTTTCGAATTTATCAATCATGAGCGTGTGCCGACTCGACCACGCCCCCATCACAAATAAGGATACGTGTCAACTGGTTATGCGCCAATGAGGCCATTGACTCCGATTTCAGCCTGCTTTTCTTTTTGGATTTGCTTCCATAGCCTTTGTCCAACCAAGAACAAACTACAAGGCAGCAGTTGTTTGATTTTGGAGTTGTCTCTCCTTGAAGAGTGGCTGACCCCAGCTAACGAGCAGGGAGGGGGGGGGGGGGTGCACATCGAAATCTTGAGGGGGGGTGGTGCAAATCGAAAGTTTGTCTCTGCGTACTCCGCATTAAATTAATAAAAAACAAAATATCACTATGAACTAGTAGGATGTATAAAATTCTCAATGGGAGAACTATTTAAAAATCATGTTATCTTTAAAGAGTTACATACTGCTTTTAGTATGTAATTACTTCCCATAAACCATCCCTGCAGCT